ACACAAGCCTGTAGATGATGAATGAGACTTCATCGAAACGTTGCCTAGATACTTCCAATCTTACGCGGGAGAAAACCCGAATAACCAAAGATCCACATACAAATACCCGCGAGAACCTCAGAAAACAAATATATATATATATATACATACATATACATACATATACATACATATACATACATACACATACATACACATACATACACACACACACATATATGCTTTATTAAATAAATTTATATACATACAATAAAATCAAAACATTCCATTTGTCGCAACGTGAGCAAATAGTGTTCACTCTAATTGACAGCTCTCTCATTGTATCAAATAATAATTCACTTATTTAGATATAATACAATATTTCATTCTAATTATTTATCACAAATAAATTTACATATAATTTTTACAAATTTCTATCATATCCTTTTATTTGATTTTTTTATTCCTTTCTTGTCTATCTTCCAACTGTACCATAGGTTCCAAATTTAATAGTATTCTGACTCCTCTTTGTTTCTGAGTTCCTTTGATAAACCTGGAGCATCTCTTAATCTGTTGAAAAAGCCTGCTTAAAATAAGTTACTCTATTTCTTTGTGGTTAAAATTGATTCTGCATTTCCCACGTGTGCTTGTTTTCTCAAAAGTGAAAGAGGAAAAAGTGAATAATAAACTCAATTTGACTGAGAGAATGCTGCCAAAAATTTAATAAGCCAAATAAATAACCATGGAACTAGGCAATGTTAATTGTAAACTGCCTGGACAATTCTTCTTTATAGCAGAGTACTGTATAGAGATGTGTAATTAAATTAAGTAAAATTTAAATAATTCAAAACTATTCTAGAGACAGAGACGGAGACAGATAAATTTTATTTTGCCAGGAAAAGTATCTATCATTTAACGATATAACGTTCTTACCTGGGAAGCCGACATGCTTTGTATTGTGTAGCATTTATTGTGCAAACAATCTTATTTGAGGATTCTCTTGCAAATATGAAATACAGGTAGTCCTCAACTTATGGCCACAATTGAACCCAAAATTACTGTTGCTAAGTGAGACATTTATCAAGTGAATTTTGCCCCCATATTACGACTTTTCTTGCCGCCTTTGTTAAGTTCGTCAGTGGAGTTCTTAAGTTAGTAATGCAGGGACCGTGAATGTGAAAAACGGTCATAAGTCCCTTGTTTTCAGTGTGAACGGTCACTAAACAAGCTGTTGTAAGCTGAGGACTACCTGTTTAGCCTTCAGTGCTTTGGCCATTGCATTCAGTATCAGGTTCTGGATCCTCTTCAAGGCCAGTGTCACATGAACCACATTGCCACAGCCTGTGTAGAAGGTGACTAGGGCTAGAGTGACTTCTCGGTCCAGGAAAGGTTGTAACTTTAAGATGGAACTGCAGGGATCCTCCTCTAAATCAGAAGTCAACTTGGCAACTTTCAGACTAGTGGACCTCCAGTCCCAGAATTCTGGGGGTGGAACTCCACAACTTTTAAAGTTACCAAGTTTGGGGACCCCTGCTCTAAATCAAACTTCATTATAAAAACAAACAAACCCTCAAGTATATCCAGACTCGCTCCTCCCTGTTGGACTTCCAAAGAATTGTGGAGATTTTTTAAGAGAAAGTTTGGGGAAACCAGGGATTAGTTTATTCTCATCAGACCCATGGATGTCTGTTATGATGGGCTTTGGATGGAGGTTTTTAACTTAATATACAGAATACAGAATAACAGAGTTCGAAGGAACCTTGGGAGTTCTTGAATCCTGGGCCCTATCTAACAAAATGAAATTCAAAGTAGGGAAAAGTAAAGTTCTATACTTAGGCAAGAAAAACCCAAAGGACACATATAGGTTGGGTGAAATAGCAGTAACTGTGAGAGGGATCTTGGAGTCTTAGTGGACAGCCAGCTAAATATGAGCCAGCAGTGTGCAGCAGCAGCCAAAAAAGCTAATGCAATCTTAAATTGCATTAACGGAGGGATACAATCAAGATCAAGTGAGGTACTAATACCACTCTATAAAGCCTTAGTAAGACCACACCTAGAGTACTAGATCCAGTTTTGGTCACCACACTATAAAAAAGAAGTTGAGACTCCTAAGCAACCAGGATGATTAGGGGACTGGAGGCTCAAACATATGAAGAACGGTTATAGGAATGGGCTTGGCTAGTTTAGGGAAGAGAAGGACCAGGGGAGACATGATAGCAGTCTTCCAATATTTGAGGCGCTGCCACGGAGAGAAGGGAGTCAAGCTATTTTCTAAAGCAGCTCTGGCCAGACAAGGAATAATGGATGGAAACTGAACAAGGAGAGATTCAACCTGGAAATAAGGAGAAACTCCATGCTCTGTACGCATGCACGCGCAATCCCCACCCACCCACCCCACCGCCCCCTTACCTGCACTGCACCTCACAGCTGATTTTCGGCCACTTTGAGGCCTTTTTCAGGCTCCCAGAGACTTGAGGAAGGCTTCTGCAGGCTTTGCAGGCCAAAAACTAGCCCTGTTTTGTCACTTCAGGTATTTTCGGAAAAACAGGAAGTGATGAAACAGGGCTAGTTTTCGGCCTGCATAGCCTGCAGAAGCTTTCCTCAAGCCTCTGGGAGGCCGAAAAAGGCCTCAAACCACCAAAAATCAGCTGTGAGGCACGCGCATGCTCAGTGAGGTAAGTTTGCTGCAGCTCGCGTGCCGGCATAAATGGATCTGTGTGCCACCTGTGTAGGATCTCCCGCTTGGGTGGGGGGTTGGATTAGATGACCTATAAGGTCCCTTCCAACTCTGTTAATCTGTTAATCCTCTGGTCCAACCCCTGCTCAGGCAGGAATCCCTATAGCATTTCAGACAAATGGTTGTCCAATCTTTTCTTAAAAACTTCCAGTGTTGGAGGATTCACAACTTCTGGAGGCAAGTTGTTCCACTGGTTAATTGCTTTGTCAGGAAATTTCTCCTTAATTTTAGATGGCTTCTCTCCTGGATTAGTTTCCATGTATTCCATATATTGGGGAATGCAAGCCGCTATGAGTTTTCCTGAATGGAGTGGCAAAAGAATTTATGAAACCCAATTTATAAAACTTGGATGAGAAGCCAAACGTCTTCAAGGAAAAACCAGAAAGTCCAGTGGCCTCTTGGAAAAAGCATTTTTGGGACAACATATGACCTGGATGGCTGAGAATCTCTATAGACGCGGATGTGTAAAACTACATGCCAGGTTCATTGCAGACTGCTCTAATTTGTGAGCCTCAGCAGAACTTCTGTTTCGAAATGAGATTTCAACTCGCAAGAGGATAATGAAGAAAATGCAATCTTTGGGGAAATAGCGTGAAGTTGTACAAATGCCCTCTTTCTGCAGAATAATAGAAATGAGAGACAATAGGGTTTAACTATCACACAGACTGAAGAAGTTAACAAACGAATGCCATTTCTGACTAAAACAATTAACCTTTTTTTGGAGATGACCTAAATTCTGCAGCATAGCCTGTTTTTTTTTCTTTTTCTTTTCTGGACTCTCCCATACTTCTTGAATTAATTCCAATAATTCAGCAAGGCTGTTGAAGAGGGTACTTTCCACTAGTTTTTCCCAGTTCAAGTATAGCAGTTTCTTGTTCTTTCTCCTTGGAATATTCTGCCCTTTATTTTTTAAAACTATCTAGGTGGGAATGGCTTGAGGAAATCTTACAAGTGAACAAAATCCTGTTCCTGGGGGGGAAGGCTTTATTTAAACTCAAATGCTACCAGGGTTTAGATGACAGGGAAGATAGATACTTTGGGTTTGAGCTAGCCATTCAGAGCAGAAACGAAATGACAGCTTTGGGTGTTTATGAATATTTAGCATATACATTTAAGATTTCTAACCGGAATGACTGTTATACACATAAAGCTAATCTCTTTGCATAATAAAAGCTACATCTTGATGAAAATATTGGGGATGCAGTAAGGATAGAATTAGACAATAATATTGTAATACTTAGAATTTGTTAAGGACAGACTTGTAATACATAGATTAACAGAATTAGAAGGGACCGTGTAGGCCATCTAGTCCAACCCCCACCCAAGCAGGAGACCAGACACCATTTCTGACAGATGGCAGTCCAGTCTATCCTTGAAAGCTTCCAGTGATGAAGCTCCCGCAACTTCTGAAGGCAACTTCTGTTCCATGGGTTGATTGTTCTCAGGGTCAGAAAATTTATCATTTCTAGGTTGATTCTCTCCTTGATCAGTTTTCATCCATTGTTCCTTGTCTGGTCTTTAAAGATGATCCGTTAATCGACTTGATCGATTAAATTTATATGGCTGTTCATGACTCTTGGTGGCCAACAGTACTTAACAAAGGAATAAAGCAATGTAATACAATTTTAAATAGCATAAATAGCAGCCGAGAAAGCAGCAATTAATAATCCTTCTTAACAGTTAATGGAATCAAGAAATGGGCTCGCCAGCATCATCAGGACCCCATACTCCAAACACAAATCTAAGTCTTCAAGGCCTTAAGAAAGACCAGCAGTGTCTCGTCTCTTTTTTTTTTATTTATAAAGAAGCCATAGAGAAAAAATAATATCACAACCATTGCTATTTTGGGCGCAAATATTCACGGTGCAGCTGTGTGTCAAGCTATGCCCCTGCAAACTCTCTCATCCATTGCTTTATTGTGAATTTTCTGCGTTAACGATTCAGACAGGATTACTCATGTTTTGACTGCTGGATCTAAATAATAGGACTGTCTCCTGATAATAAAGATGCGTTCAGTTTCTCTCTAGTCCCTGAAAAACAAACTTGGTTATGTAATGTAGGTGGTAATGAGGTCATCTTCGTGTCCCTCAGTTAACCTTGTCTGGAGTGAGGATTTTAAACATGGTGGCAGATGGAGATTTATATGGGTGAAAAGGTTGCAGGTTTTTAGATTTGGATAGAAAAGCAGTCTGTGTGTGTATGTACACACACACACACAGTGTCTTTTTGATTTGTTTTGTAATATGGTCATTTCCTTCAGATTCTCCAATTCTTTTCCTTTCAGAAACCGACGACTATGCAGAGATCATAGATGAAGAAGATACGTACACCATGCCTTCAAGTAAGTCATCCTTTTCACTTTGGACATCTGATAAGAGTCAGTAAACATAGTTGTAGATCTATTTAATCAAAAATATTTGGGATGCATCCTTTTGGGCCTAGAGACTGGAAGAAAAAAATGGTTTAAGTGTTGTTGAAAAATTGACATGCCTCCACTGGGGTTATTATTATTGTTTTTGAAATAGTAGACGTAGACACACAGACTCACATAAGCAACTGAGAGAGAGCATTTCTGATTGATGGCCAGATGGCAAACTGCTGGTAAGTTCAGGTACTGTGCTGTCTCACTCAAAAGAATAAACCACTTTTAGCTTTAGGATTATATGTGCTTCCCTCTCCAGCTTCTTATACTTCTATACATTAAGGAAAGGAAGGCGGCAGGGAACTCATTCTCAAAGTTTTCCTCTATCTAAACCCGTTCAGAGCGTGGTTTGGGTTGATGATTGAAAATGAGAAGCTGTTTGGTCTAGCAGTTAAGGCCCCAGCCTAGAAAGCTGGTGACTGTGAGTTCAAGTCCTGCTTTAACCATGAAAGCCACCTGAGTGACTTTGGTGCCAGGCCGCCTGACAGAGATTGTTGTTGTGGGGAAAATAGGAGGAGGAAGATGTGTTGGATATGTTTGCTGCTTTGGGTTGTTGGTATAAATAATAAAGGCGGGATACATATAAACAAACCAGTGGCAATAAGAACAAAACCCCAACTTCCAAAGTGCAGGTATAATGGAAAATCTCAGCTTGTTCTAAAGCAGTGGTCACCAACCAGTGGTCCGTGAGAAAATTTTGGTGGTCCGCAGGAAAATTATTTGCATTTTTTTATATTGCACTAAATCAGGGGTCCTCAAACTACGTCCCCTGGGCCGGATACGTGCAATGAATGTTTGTGTTGCTGCAGGGAGCCTCCCCCCTTTGGGGTCTTTTCGTGCAGGTCAGAGGGGGCAGAAATTCCGACTTGGGATCTGCTTCAGCCTCCTGGTGCAGGGCTTTGGGCAGAGGCTGGAGGGAGGGGGCACTGGTGGCGAAGACGGAGGGCCTCATTCCAGTGGGACTGCATCATGGCCTGGAACTGGCTGACCATCTCAGCTCGCTGAGCCTCCAGGCGCCGGGACCTGGCCTTGCACTCCTGGAGGTCTTCCCTCTGCTTGGAAAGCCTATGCTCCTAGTCCTCAGTGAGGTGCTTCTGCTGAGCCTCCTTCTTGGCCAGATCCAATTGGAACTGAGCCAGCTGTTTTGCCAACTCTTTCTTGTGGGTGGCTGCCTAGCTCCAACAACTGCTTCCTGTTGGGGTCCTAAGGAGCCCGGGTGGGCAGGCAGGAGTGGCTGGGAGGGGAGGGGCGAGGAGAGGCCGGCGAGGCGCCCCTCAACGTGTGTGACATCAAGCTGGCCACGCCCATCCAGTCACATGATTGCCCACCCAGTCAGATTATATTAGTGGTCTGTGGGATTTAAAATTATGAATTTAGTGGTCCCTGAGGTCCGAAAGGTTGGTGACCCCTGTTTTAAAGCAGAGGCCTCCAACCTTGGCAACTTGAAGACCTGTGGACTTCAACTCCCAGAATTCCTCAGCCAGCTTTGCTAGCTGAGGAATTCTGGGAGTTGAAGTCCACAAGTCTTGCCAAGGTTGGAGATCCCTGTTCTGAAGGATGGAAGCACACATTATTATTATTATTTTTTAAAAGAGTATTCTTTTAGGGGAGAGGGAATGAATGACTTTTTTTTTTAATTGTTAGTCATTGTTATTGAAAAACAGGTCATAATAGCCTGATATGTAGTGGATAAATGTAACCACCTCATCCCAAAATGTTTTATAATATGCAAAGTAAATTTGGATGGCATCTGGGCCTCGACAGTGTTACGATGATGTCATAAATGTAGATCATGTATTTTGGGGGTATTTGCAGAAATTTCAAATACAATGTCTATGTGTGGGATGTTGAATACTGGGATTTTTTTTTCCAAATGTAATTTGCATTTTAAGAAGCATTTTCTAAGCTGGTGTTTGATTTTTCTCTTAATTGCACTGCAGAAAGCTATGGAATAGATGAAGGTAACAGGAGATCCTTTAATTATCTATCTGTTTACAATTTTTGGAGATACCTTTAAAAAAAAAAAAAGAAACTGTTGACTTTCTATTAATAAAGTGCTGGCTCAATTGTGTATTTTTAAGCCAACACATTTGATAGCTGTGGGATTATAAAAAAAAACTGCTTTGTTCAAATAAAAATGGATATATAGACTACAGAAGATGTTATATCTATTCTTAACTTTTTTTAAACTCATAATAAATCACTTCAACTTCTCCCTTTGGAAACAAGAAGGCATGTTTCCTACTATTTTATTTGAAACACGGAAATAAAAATAGACAATTCAGTTGGCAATAAATAATGCCTAATGATTTTAGGAATAAGCAGTTTACTAAAGAAAAATATATATATATATATAATAAAATATGTATGAAGTGTCAGCAGAATAAATTGCATAGGTATTTAGGGTAGGTCTTTTTCAGGCTTATTAAAACTTATTCTCGGCTGATTTCCTGATTAACAATTCAATATTTTGTATTTTTACTTGGCATTAAATCTCACTCTCCAATTGGGTTTATTTCCAGGAATATATGCATAGGATTAAAACCACAAGCCCCTAAAATACCATGTAATGGAGACCTCTTAAATATGCCATTTTAGCAGGAGCTAATCAAAATAACCTACCCCTTTTGCATGTCTTTCCATGTGAACCATTGGTCATAATTCAGTTAAGATGTTTTAATTACATTGCTTGCATTAATGTAACTAAACACACTGAAACTAATTCAGAACTGGACGTCTCATACCCGTTCCGGGATTTCCATTTGAATGGGTATTTAAGAGGGTTCCAATATAGAAATGGTACTTATATGGATTGCTTGTGGGCAAATTCAGGCATGATTTTCAAATGGGTAATCATTTGAAGCGACCTTCGATGGCATTTTGTCTTTTGTGGGGTATTTCATGGGGAAGCTATTTCATCATTGGATTTAAATTTAAATGGATTGTATTTTAATAGCCAGGGATTATGAGATTCAGAGGGAGCGGATTGAACTGGGACGCTGCATCGGCGAAGGGCAGTTTGGCGATGTTCACCAGGGAGTTTATGTCACTCCGGTAGGTATCTGTAATGTTTTCATGCTTTTTTCATAAGTAGAATTCGCTTCCTTCTAATTGTGTGTTATTATCCACTGTACACTCGTTTTTTTTGTTTTTTTATGTCTTTTAATGACCCCTTAATCCCTTGCATCGGGGTGGAGTTGGGGCAACTGAATGAAGCTGAGTGTTTACTGGCTGGATGCCAGGGCAGAGTTCACAGCTGATATTTACTCATTGTGCCCAGAGAGAGAAATATCTGTCGCTACCTAGGATCGAACTCACAGCCTCCTGTTTGTGAGGCAAGAGCTCCGCCTCCAGGCCACTGCACCACCACTGTATACTCTTATGTTCTAGTGAAAATGCAAATATGTCAAGTTTTGAACTTTGTTAATTTATGTATGCAAAGAGTGTCCGCTAACCTTTTATCTTGATGGATTAACATTCTTTAAACTGCACACCCTCACGCATTCATATTTATCAAACTATAATACCGGCCAAGTGATGTAAAGAGTGTTGGAGAAGACAGAATTCTTTATACCAGAGCTGTGTGTGTGGATGGTGTCCTTTGTCTAGTCCTTCATCTTGTTTCATTCTAGCAAACCTTCATACACACACACACACACACACACACACACACACACACACACACGTATGTATGTATGTATGTATGTATGTATGTATGTATGTATGGTATTCAGCTTTGTTCGGGTATTTTCCCGTGTCATTATAGTTGTGCTTTTAAAGTTGTAGCAATGTTTCGGCAGAATCTCATCTGCCATCATCAGGCTTCTGTATTGTGTTCATACGCTGCTACAACTTTAAAAGCACAACTATAATGATGTAGGAAAATACCCGAACAAAGCTGAATACCATACATATACCCGCGAAAATTGAAGAAAACACACACACACACACACACACACACACACACACACACTTATTTCCTTCATGTGGGGTCCTTGATGGTCTTTAAGCTTGGTTGCCAGCATTTCATTACCAAACCCCATTCTCTTCTAGCACTGATGACATTACTCATCTAGGTCATGAAACGTCTGCAAGAAGACTGTTCTGACCAAGGCTTCCGAGACCGTAATTAAGCACACGCTTAGTTAAAACAACTCTTGTTTTATTTCAACACTGGGAATTATGTTCATTCCCAGCCCGTAATGAGTCCCAAACAGTCCCTCGGGATAAGCACCCACCTTTCTCTCCTTTGAATTCCTGCCAACAACTAAAGTGCCAAATTAACTATTAAAAACCAACCAAAGTACAAAGTCCATACACAGCTTCAAGGTTTAATCTGAACAGAGCAAACGACATTGCTTCCTGCAAAGGTTTCTCTACCTTTGCATGTCCTTTATACCTTATGGGAGGGGCAATCACCTCCAAGCCTTACTCCCAAGTCGCCCCTTTTGTCTTAGCTGCTCTTGCCTTCTGGCAGCTCTGTGCACATGCGCACTGGGAACAGGCTCCCCTGGGTCCCCTGCCTCACTGCTGCCAGACTCCGGAGCCTCCAGAGTCAGCATCCTACTCCTAGATGGTCCTGGCCCCATCTCTGCATTGGACGCAGGATCCTCGTCCGAGTCCTCCCCAGACTCCCTGACTGGTCCCCTTTCATCCTCACTGTCCGATTCCGCTGCCATCTGCACAGACTGCTGGCAAACTACAACAAACACCACCTAGCTTAGAGAGCATCAAGGACACACAGTTCAACGCTGGACCACTAATATTCACTTTGATGGCATTTTCTTCACGCTCACTGGCTGTTTATGTGACTAGGTTATATAAGACTGGTTGCTTCATGTCTATGGAAAAAGCATCTTTTTTGAAAAAGCGCCTTTCGGACGATTGGTTGCTTAGAAGCTATTTTCATTCCTTGTTGCCTGTCATCTCATCTTGCTTGGTGTCAACCAATTTCAGCCTGCTGCTCTCATGCAAATATGGCTCGTCTTCTGGCGTTCTCTTCCCCTCTTTCTCAACACTGTGTCCCGCTGCTTTGTATAGCAAATGCCGCTAACCATGACTATGATCATGATGACTAAAATGTTAAATGAAGGCTAAACCCTTTCCTCACTTGACCCTGAAGCTCATTGTGCCATTCCGTGCACCTCAGCTCTTTCCTGAAGGAAAAAAAAAATAAACAGGATAAAGCAAAGAAGGAGCAGTGTGTAGGCGAATTCCAGTTCCTGGACTTTAGATGCACACTGGTGTTAAAGATATTTGGGAGGTGGGGGAAATCTTTTTGGTTTTAGTTTTCCAAAAATAATAAGTACGCATTGGAAGACACATGTACCAAGTCTTTGGTGGAGAGTTGTGTGGCAAAGTCACAAACCGTTGGCTTAAGTGGAACAATAAGAACTTAAGCTGGGAGATTAACTCATCACCTCTCTGATTATATCAAAGCCTAAATGCTCCGATAAACATGCCCAGCTGTTGTACGCAGTTGTTAAATCATGCCATGGTGGGGATGTGTGCGGAGGAGATGGTGTCCAAGGAGTAGGGAAACCTCATTTGGCCCAAGGGTTTAATTAGCTATTGGTAACGCGTGAACTTTTTAATGCAGAGAATGCGTCCTACCAGCTGCTTCTGATTTGAGCCTGCTGTGGGAGATGTTTGAACTTTTCAGCACAAGCTGCAGCTTCGAGTTCCTTCGCACAGACGCATGGATGCGTTGAGAGAAATTTGTTTGTCTTCCCATGTAGCGATTAGGTTTTAATTAGCTTCCTTCAATAGACGGTTGAAACCTTGGGGCTTTCAATAAAAAAAAAAAAAAGAGTTAGTTATGAAACTCTTGACAGTCAAAACGGGGGTCTTCAAAGAAACGTGAATACTGTACATTTTAGTGTAGTGCTCTAAATATTTGGCTTAGAGGATGAACAATAAGATTGGACTTAGACTAACTTTATTGTCACTTTGAATGTATACTAATCGGCATACATTAAAATTAAATTTCGTTGCATATGGCTCTTAAAAGATGTCCATTTAACTTTATACATGGTTTCTGCAATTTTAGAAGCGATAAGGGCTAAGCCATGTTTCACTGAATTCTGAAAATACCTTAGTGTCACAGGCAATCTACTTTTCTCTTTTAAAAGAATGGTATTATATGATGCTGGTTATACAGCTCAACGAAACAAGCTGCTCATGGGCAGATTAAAATTACCAGAGAAAAATTAGCGTGCAATGCACAATTGATCAGAGCAACTTTTTGGTATCTTTTCTGTGCAGTCTGAGACAAATCTGGTTAATTTAAGCTGAGGTTCATAGAATAATAATGAGAGCTGAATTCCTTCTTATATAACAAAAAGGCAAAGTTAATTTCTAACCAAACTCAAGCTATTGCTTAGAAACTTGAAATTGGCAATACAATTTTAGTATTAATGTCTTTTTATACTTTTGAAGAAATGAGTGTTAGCATTATGCAAATAGTCTTTGAAAAAACAGATATATCTAATAGAAAATAGAGAAGAAAAATTTAAAACCCCTTCCACAATATTAAATTAAAGTTAAACATTAATAGTTTGGTCAGGTTTGTTTATGTTAGTATTTACAGAATTTCAGATTACTCTGTCCTGAGCATTAATGAAGGGAGGAAACCTTTCCCAATTCCACTCCAACATTTCATATATAAATTGTCATATTCAGTTGTGTGGTTCATGAGAAAATGCTAACTTTAGAAAATTACCGCTTTTTCTTTGCAAAGTCTATGAAACACTGTTTAAAAACAAAACAAAAAAACCCAACAACATCAGAATCTATGTTTTATCTGTGTGATTCCTTTCGTCTGTATAACGTGGGCTTTCTATCTTGTAGGAAAACCCTGCCATGGCAGTTGCAATCAAAACGTGTAAAAACTGTACTTCGGACAGCATAAGAGAGAAATTCTTGCAAGAAGCCTGTAAGTTATGAAAATCTTCTCTTTTTTGTTCAATTTTGGTAGGTTTAGGGTGAGTATGTGAGGGGTTCTTTTTGCAAAGACCGGAAACAAACACCACAACTTAGCTGAAAAAACTGTACACGGCATCATAGCACCCACCCACCCCCCAACCATTGGCTCTTGCCCTGTTAAGCAAAGTTCTCGAAGTGGCATCTTGTCCTCATCCCCAGCCCCCCCCTCCAGAAGTGCTTGTACTTATTGGGGATTATGTGCTGCCTCGGTGGGGTTCCTCCTTTTATAAACACAGCTGCAGAATAAAGCTGCTACAAAGCTCCCAGCTCTTTTTCACAAGCACTGCGACTACTGAGTTGCAAAGCCAAGCTGGCTCCAGGCAGGGGATCAAACCAAGGTGGGCTGTTTTGTGTGGCTTATGGTCTTGGCAGTTGACTGTTGGCTCGCTTGCCTGCTGTTTGCCCTGGCCCAGACCTTGCTCCCCACTTCCACAGCCGCTTGCATCTCTTCCTCTTTTCCCACTCACCCACATGCACTGTGGCTTGACCTTCCCTTTTCCAGGCATGGGTGTGTGCTAACCTGGCTGCCTATGGATGTCGTTGGCATGTTCTTGAAAAAGGCAGGATTTGGCTCTCCTGGCCAGCTGGGGGCACTATTACGTCAGTCCAATAGCTGGGGAATTCTGGGAGTTGAAGTCTACTCATCATAGAGTTGCCGAGTTTGAGCAATAGTGCATAGAGCAGGGGTCTCCAACCTTGGCAACTTTAAGCCTGGCGGACTTCAACTCCAAGGTTGGAGACCTCTGCACTAGAGATTATTCTGTTCCATCGAGCTTTTGGGAGGTTGTGTGGATGCGCAGGTCTGCCCTCATTAGATTTTATAGATCTTCATTATAAATAAGAGTTTATAATAAAATATACATTTTTTGTGCATTTCTTTGGAATACTTTTACTGAGATGCTTTTGTTAGGGTTTTGCGATTATTCTTTCCCCCCCTTTTTTTGCTAGTGTAATCTCACCAGAGAATGGGATTGCCTAAAAGTAAGCAAATAGACAGACAGACGGGTTGCATTCCTGTCCTTGGATCGACAGTCTTGCAGTTGAGAAATACAGGCTGAGATTTGATTCATAAATCCAGATTTGTAATACTCTGTTCAAACTACACACGTAGTTTAGAACGGCGATCAAATCATGAGCAGCCAAGATAAATCTGCTACTCCAATAATGTATGTTTTTTTAGAATTTTCCTGTGTATGTCATGAGATAAAAGATGAATGTTCCAGGTTTGGCAACGGAGTGCTATCTCTTCCACAGCCACAACAAACCAATTTCCATTTCATTCAGTGCGAGCTTTAACTCCTGTGCTCTTGAGATTGATCATAAAGCAATTATACTCCTCATCAATAGGCTTGATGCCAGCCAAAGGAGTAAATGAGTTTTTCTTGTGGACATCATATTCATGTCAGGGTTGTACTCCATCACAACTCAGTGCATCTGTCTGAATAGTGTTCCATTTGTCTTCTTTCTGCTCTAATGAAGAAATGCCCAAATGAAGCGTAGACACTGTGAATCAATAAGAGTTTTTTTTATACGGCGGGTTTGAAGCTTTGAAGCCTAGTTAGTGATAATTGTCGCCAATTTATATTTTGCAAGCCATCTGTTCTTGAACTGAATCAATTTAAGCTGATCGAAAGATATTAAATTGTTGTCACACCTTAGTGGCTCCTCAGAAGGAAAATTCCTGGCCTTTTCAGCATGGTTGTGAAATTAAAAATGCATGCTATGCTTCTGCACTTCTCTTCCAATGTCTTCCAGCTCTAACCCATTTTAGTGTTACATCTGTGCTTTGGATACTGAAATCGGGGCTAAATATGCTTTCATTTCAAGAGCTGGTGTAAAAGTAATCATGATTAGCATTAGTATATCTGCAAAAGCAACGCTCATCACAGTAGATATTGGAAATGGGAGAGAAATGAAAATAGAGAGCTGACAGTGAGCATATGAAACGGTGGGAAGGTTCAGCCACGTAGCCCATTTCCCAGAAACAATGGCAGTTTACTCTGAAAACAAAATGATTTCCTGTGTGAACCTTTTACAGAGAGTCCTCAATTTATGGCCAGTCGCTTAGCGACTGTTAGAAGGTATGACAGATCCACAGCAGGCTATATATGACCCAAATTTGAACTTTCGGCAGTCAAGGTGCCCTTGCTGCTCGTGGCCACGTGACCAAACTTTGGTCACTCAGTACTGGGACATATAAGCAGCTGCTTGTACCTTCCTGTGGTTGCGTTTGAGTGCATTTTCCAACAGTTCTGCCGAAAATCAATATTTACTTCTGGTTTTCGGCAAACCCATGCCCATAGTAATCCATTGATTCACTTAATGACCACCACACCCAAAAATATTCATGTTGTTCATGTGACCAGCCCACTTTATGCTGGTCATAAAACCATAGGGCTGGGAGAGACCTCAGAGATCTTCTAGACCAATCGCCTGCTCAAGCAGGAGACTCTATACCACCCCGGTTAAATTGTTCTCCAGTCGCAACTTACACCAGCAATGGGAGGCTCCATTACAGTCGTAAGTCGAGGACAGCCTGTAGATGGGAAATGGGTTTGATGAAACATTTTTAACTAATCTGAGATTACCCCACTGGGGGTTCAGTGATTAGAATGGAGTATTGCAGGATAATTCTGTTGACTGCCAGGGGTTTGATTCTCACCAGGCTCAAGGTTGACTCAGACTTCCATCCTTCCAAGGTGGGTAAAATGAGGACCCAGATTGTTGGGGGCAATAGGCTTACTCTGTAAACTACTTAGAGAGGGCTGTAAAGCACTGTGAAGCGGTGTATAAGTCTAAGCGCTAGTGCCAGTGCTATGGATGAAGAGAGCTTGACTCTTTCAAAAAGACTCCCTCAGCCCTGGACAGTCTCTGTGTGATCTAAGAGAAAATGTGTCTGTGATGAGCCGGGGTGTGGCACAAAGGCAACATAGTCAAATAAGCGATAAGAGTCCCTTTATTATCTCCAACTTTGCCCCCAGTGTCCAGGTTACCTTCGGCTGGAGAAAAACTCTCCCAGGAACAGCCTTTAACTGTAGAAAATTCAGTCCAAAACAAGGTACACATAACTGTGATTTAAAATCCAAACAAACCAAACTGAAGTAATTTGCTTGACAGGGCAGGAGAAGAAATTTCAGACTTGAAAGCATGGCAAAACTTACAGTTGGGAAGACACCAGGAACATAGATATGCCACGACAATACAAGATATTTTGCTTCCAACAGCTTGCTCTGCGCAGCTTCCTTTTTTATACACTGTGTGCCCAGCTGCAGCTAATGAAGGGAATCAGGGCCCTTTCCTTCTCCGCAAGCCATGCAACCCACGTTGCTCTCTTCTCCGTTCCTCCCTGCATGCCCTAGGATGAAGAGGGAGTGGGCCTGGATCTTCCTTCGAATTCCCTCTCACTTGCTCTGCCTCTCCCCTGCTCTGCCCAGGTGGCCTTTGCCCTTCCCCAGTTTTCTTCCACAGCCAACGGAGCCACACTCCCACTCCCTGTCAGTTGCTCGGCTTCCTCCTCCAAATCAGATTCCGACAGGGGCATGACAGTATCATTCAATCAAACCATCACTGTTGATTCCTCCTCAATCATCGCTTTTAATAGCCAACAATTAATGCAAAGATCTGTGAGATATTAGTATGGTTACCTAAGGCTTTTGTCAAACATCTCTACTTAATTTTGATGGGGGGCAGAGGAGCCCTGGCATCAATTCTGTGAAGCGGTATATAAGCCTGAAGTGCTAGTCAGTCTAGAATCTGTTTCAACCCCCTTGCTTTCTGATCGCCCCATCACAGCATGCCTCCATTTCACGAGAACTTTTGCTTTCCCTGTTGCAGTAACAATGCGTCAGTTTGATCACCCCCACATTGTGAAGCTGATTGGCGTCATCACGGAAAACCCTGTTTGGATCATTATGGAGCTCTGTACCCAGGGAGAGGTGAGCAGAATCCATCAAGAATATGCCCGTCCTCGGGGGCTCGATAAAGGCTTTGGGGGACGTGGATGTATCGTATGGAGGTCTTTCTCAAAGGGACAGAGAGTCACCGGCATTTGTCAACGGCAGAATCGTAGGCTTCGATTTGAGTCCCATGGGAATTGTGGAATCGGAAGAGGAGACCTAAACCTGTGCTTCTCAGTGTGGGGTTGAGTGACACCTCTCTGCTTTTCCACTGGGAAGAGGAGAGCGGAAAAGGATCGTAAATACGTATCTTTCCCCACCGTATCTTTCCCCACCGTATCTTTCCCCACCGTACATGTAGTCCTTGGCTTTAGCGGCCGTTCTAAGTGACAGTGACACTGAAAAATGTGACGTATGACCATTTTTTCACACTTAACGACCATTGCAGCATCGTAAAAGGGGGTCATAGTTGCCTGCCCCTGGTTTGGAGTATGAGGGCCCAAGCTTTTGTAAAACATGCACCTTTTGATTGGAAGGAAAGTCATTTAATTCTAAAGATCAGCAGAGGTAGCCCAACTTGAATATTGTCACTGTTTCCCTTTTAATAGCTGAGCATCCCAATGACCGAGGCCAGAGTGAGGCCACTGCTAGGACTGCTTGTAGAAGCCCAGTGGTTGCTTAGAAATCACAGTTTCTTTGCAACAGCCCAGTGAGAATTGAGTATGCTCAATAGCCATGAGAAGGAGGAGAGTGGAATGGAGAAGAGAGACACAAGGCAGTTGAGTTCTTTGCGCTGTAACATGTTGAATCGAGATCCTTTGCGCTGCAACATTCTGTTCCTGGATTTATTTTTGCTTAGTCTAACCTTTCTCTCCTTCTCCCTCCCTCTCCCTCCCTCTCCCTCTCCCTCTCCCTCCCTCCCCCTCCCTCCCTCCCTCTCTTTCCTTTATCCTGTAGCTGAGATCATTTCTGCAAGTCAGAAAATACAGCTTGGATCTGGCGTCCTTGATACTGTACGCTTACCAACTTAGCACAGCACTTGCCTACTTAGAGAGCAAACGGTTTGTACATAGGTAAGTTCATCAGCTCCCTCCAAAATATTATCCTCTAAAAATGGCATACATTGCTGCCTGGTGTAGCAGCCATGTTGGGTTCAGTGGTAATGGGTTTTCTTACCCAGAACTACGTTTTCCATTATTCCATGCGTTTATGAAATTTGCATAGCTGCCCATCTCACAACATAAAGTGATTCCCTTTATGTTGATTTAATGAACAAGGGTGAGTAATATTTTAACATCTTAGAATCCACTTATTTTCATCCTTGATTTGTCGGCCTCTTTGGGAGTATTAACTGTTCCAAATCCAGCAGCATGTGAGAGATTTGGCAAAGGGTGACATCTACTGGGCAGCCTCTTCCAGTGTTTTCTAAAACAGTAGCACCAAGTGAGTCAGAAAGGAGTTTTCTTCCAAAGCCCCTTGTGATTTCCAATTTCCAGTTTCAAACAACCTGCAACCTCCAGACCTTGAGATAGCAATAAGAGTTTTCCTGAAAACCGTTTAACCAGTGAATGGACTGGTAATTCAAATGGAAAGCAATCGGAGGAATACTTGACATTTTTAAGAGTAAAGAAAATACTCTATTAAAAAAGGAGGTCAGACACACACTATAAAACTTTGAGTTCACGCATACTTGTAAAAGTTTCAAGGTGGTTTTGGATGCAGTATCTTCTAATCCTTACAACACCCTGTACAGCACATTATTTTTAATAAGAATCTTATATAATACTCAGGCAAAGATGCAAGCAAGATTCAGAACTCAGATTCAGACTAGAGTCTGCCTGATTTTTTTAACTAAGGGGTCAAAGAACCATAAATTAGTCTTGTTTTCCTTAAAACAAAAATCCTGGTTTTTTTTTCCTGCTTTGATGTGCATACGCTTGTACATTTCATTGTAAGGAGACTGGAAAGACTTAAGTAGCATTAATAGGAAGATTGCTCGCTTGTTCTTTTGTCTGCTTCTCCAAACATCTGGTACCACAATGAAATGGTTACCGAGGTTTGGGATCCAGCCCCCAGCAGGAGCAGTGTGCAACTTTCTATCTACAGGAAGCTATCATTTCAGGAAAGGAAAAATAAAGACAGCTTCCAAAGACCTGGAGTGACCGGATGATATCCTGATGTTACTAGAGAGGACAGAGAATGTTGGGCTATTTTGGGGGGGGGCACTGGGGGATTTAAGTAAATTCCCCTAAAAACTACCCTCAGTGCAAAAATTTATAGTGGCGTGTGAAGTTCTTTCTGGGAGTCAGAATTTGGAAACAAGAACAGTGGTACCATTGCAGGCCTGTGTCAAAAAGATTCCACTACTTGAAGCATTTTGTGTAAAAATTAATGGAAAGTTTAGTTGGAGATGTCAGTACCAAGCTGTGTAAATGTTGGTTGCCCTTATATTCAGGTATAATTGTCTAATCCAGTTAGATTTTCATACAGTATGTAATGTGATATATTATGCCTTTTTGTTGGAAGAGAACAGGAATGTGATAGATTTTTGGTGCAAAAATAATTCGATTAAATGTGCCTGAGATGTGTTCAGGTGCTGATGCCTTACATGTTGAATGATTTACATTTGTGTCTTCTACCAGGGATATTGCTGCTAGAAACGTGCTGGTGTCCTCTACAGACTGTGTGAAACTAGGTGATTTTGGTTTATCTCGGTATATGGAAGATAGCACATATTATAAAGGTAAGTGTGTCCACCCAGTCACTGTCTACAGCCTCTGTTGAGTAAAAAGAGTATCCTATCTTAGAGTTATCATAGAACATAGGACAAGAGGCACAAGTCAGCAGTCCAGAATTAAAAACCAGTATAGTCAAGGTCCATTTAAGTATTTTATTTTAAAAGGTCAGTAATTGTGTTGTCAGGTCTACTTCAGATTTGGCATCAAGTAACAAAATGAAATGCTGAGCTCACAGTCCAGGATTGTAGGGTTAGAGGCATTACTTATGAAATCTTACTGCTGGCTGGATCCTGGCACCACGAGATCAGGCTCCAAAGATTCTTGACAGACTTCCTTTTCTCCTTCTTCCTTTTTGACAGAGGACTTGTATAAAGGAGTCATGGCAAAGAATTGATCTGTTTTTTTTCTAAGTTTAGTAGCAAATTGATTCTATACTGTTGAACAAAAAGAATTGGAAACCATGTGAGAGTTCTCATACGCAGTATTATAGAATCTGTAAAATGTTATTTTACAGGTAGTCCTAAACTTATGATCACAATGGAGCCTGCCCATAGTGGTCGCAAGTTGTGAAGGTAGTTAAGCGAGCACCCATTGATTTGCCTTGCTTAACAACCTCCATCCTTGCTCTCCCTGATATGTCACTGAGCAGAGCATGGGGTGCCTCCGAGATAGTGCAGACATAGGCCCACCTGCCCCAGACCTTCCAATGCCTCCCCTGTGTCAGCTTTGGAAGCCATGTTGAGATCTGATGCTTCTACGCTGCCACAATTGAGCCTGGGAAAGTGGGAGGGGGGAATCCATTGGAATATATCTAGACAGACATAATAACATTCTTTTGCTGATTCAAGGTCAGGTAGTGTTGTGCATAGTGAAAAGGAAGTCTTACTTTGGGACGGATGGTGATTGGGCCATGTGATGTGGTGATGGGTATAGGGGATGGATTTGTAGTTTTTAGTTATTGCAAGGAAGCCCAGAACTTCAGATTTGGGATTCCACAGATGTGCCAGTTACTATCCAAATAAAAGGAATTTTTGGGAGATGTCTGTCTTGGAGTTATTGGTTGGAATGGAGGGTTGCTGGAACGCTGACACCCTGCCCCAATTGAGATCCCTGGAGACTGCCGATTTTATAGTCTTGATTGCATTTGATAAAAATTGGGGCATGTATTATATCAGGCATATTGTATTTGGTGTGTAAACATCTGGACGACTGCTAGATAGTATTTGATAGATGCTGAATACTTTACTGCCATCTTGCAGTCATTCATATTTTTGCAGCCCAACTCCGGGACGACTTTGTGACGATTGTGCTGCTTTCTGGGCAAAGCTTTGTGGCTGGGTCATCTTTGATCCAGACGCATTTACTTAATGTTCAAATGTCCAAGAGATATGACAGTATGTGATGAAGGTGAGGGGTGAACCATACATAGCTCATTTGTAAGAAGCAATAGCATACACTGAATTTCACTATCAAGCCTTCCTGTTTTTTCAGTAATGATGAAGACCAAAATTCATTTATTATGAAAAATGCAACAATAACAGCCCAAGCTGGCGAAAAATTCAGCCAACCCATTCAGACTGGGAAACGTGCATCGCAGCCCAACAGTGTAAAATATATGGAGTGGAGCAGAATAATGATTTTTAAGATGTCCTGAATAGATTTCATTTGTTCACTATAGCTTCAAAAGGAAAATTGCCCATCAAATGGATGGCCCCAGAATCCATCAACTTCCGACGTTTTACCTCAGCCAGTGATGTCTGGATGTTTGGTAAGAGAAGATCAGCAAGTTTCCTATATTTCTGCCTTCGTTTGTTGAATGAGTGCAGTTAGTCCTCGACTTATGACCACAATTGAGCCCAAAATTTATGTTGCTAAGTGAGATGTTTGCTAATTGAGTTTTGCCCCATTTTACAACCTTTCTTGTTGTTAAGTGAATCATTCAGTTGTTGAGTTAGTAGCATATTTATTAAATGAATCTGGCTTCCCCATTGACTTTCTTTGTCAGAACGTCGCAAAAGGGATTTGCCTTCTTTTTTGGAAAAAAGGTGCTTTTTCCAAAAGGGAACTGGACATTCTTGGGTTTTTTTTTCCCTTTGAAAACGTTTCAGCTAAGAAAGTTAGAACTGAAGAAGCTTCTTGGATGAGAAGTGAAACATTTTCAAAGGAAAAAGAACCAAGTAAGTCTGGTTGCCTTTCGGAAAAAAAAAACACCTTTGGGTCTTCTCCAGAGGTGGCATTCAGCAGATCCTGACCAGTTCTGGAGAACCGGTTGCGGAAGTTTTGAGTAGTTTGGAGAACCGGCAAATCCCACCTCTGACTTGGCCCGCTCCCATCTATTCCTTGCCTCCCGAGTCCCAGCTGATCGGCTGGGTCTTCTTTTGTTTCCCTGCACAGGAGAACGGAGCTGGAAAGCAGGTTAGTGGGGTGGGGAGGGAATGGGGATTTTGCAGTATCCTTCCCCCAGGAATGGGGAGGGAATGGGGATTTTGCAGTAACCTTCCCCTGCCACGCCCACCAAGCCACGCCACACCACGCCCACCAAGCCACGCCCACAGAACCGGTAGTAAAAAAAATTAAATTCCACCACTGGTCTTCTCCTGCAGCGCTGTTTCTCCCATACAAATGCATGGTGTCTCTTTTTGTATGAAAAGGCTTGATGGAGCCCATTTTAGTCATTTCCTACAGGTCTAGAAGAAAGAAAGGCAGTAAAAAGCAATGTTCGCTATGTTTATCTCCTGAATTGCAAAGGAATTTAGTCTGTTGACACTAGAGAAAATAAGGCGGTTTCTCGGTCTACCTATATGGGTAATCCTTAATTTAAAACCCCAATTGAGCCCAAAATTTATGTTGACAGTTATTAAGTGAGTTTTGCCCCCATTTTACGACCTTTCTTGCCACAGTTGTTAAGTGAATCAATGCAGTTGTTAAGTTAGTAACATGTTGTTAAGTGAACCTGGCTTTCCCATTGACTTTGCTCGTCAGGAAGTTGCACAGGGGGTGTCAAAGTCGATTTCATTGAGGGCCGCATCAGTGTTTGATCTCAGGGGCCATGGTGGGCGTGGCCAGCTCCATGTCACTCATGTCTGTGTCAGGACTCCGACAAATCCACCCCCATTCAAATCATAAATCTCTAGCCGCATCTCTCAGAGTAAAAAAAAAATTATTAGGAGTGACCATGTCGGCATTACCTGGGTGCAGCCAACACTAAAATACATCATTCATTTCCCCCTTGACCCTGATCTTCCCCCCATCCCCTGGATGTATATTCTCCAATGGGACACATCATAGCCAAAAGTCATCAATCATGCTCTCCAGTAATAATCTTGCGTGCCAACAGCTTCGGCTGCCTAGCAATTATCTGAAGCATTTGGGGAATGCACTACTTCCCCCCCTTCCTTTTTGCTAGCAAGTAAAAAGACCAAAGGAGTATTTTTTTAGTTGACATTCTGGGGCACCTGTGGTGTCCCGAGTGCTCTGCCAGCAAAAATGGCTCCCGAGCTCCATTTTTGGCTGTGACGGCCTCCTGCAACCCTCTGCCAGTGAAAACGGAGGTCAGCGGGGCAGTGCACAGCCTCCCAAGTTCCATTTTTGCTGGCAAAGGCACCATGGCCTGGTCCTTCATGCTGTCCGAAGACATCTCCGTGGTCATGTGGCCAGCATGACTAAATGCCAAAAGTGCCCGGAACACTGTTCCCTTCCCACCAAAGGGGTCCCTATTTTTCCACTTGCATTTTTTTTACATGCTTTCAAACTGCTAGGTTGGCAGAAGCTGGGACAAGTAATGGGAGCTCATTCCGTTACGTGGCGCTAGGGATTCGAGCCGCCGAACTGCCGACCTTTCTGATCGACAAGCTCAGTGTCTTAGCCACGGAGCCACCGTAAATTGTAAAATTTATATTTTAAAAAATGGGCATGTTCCGGTTCCTTTCTGATAAGCTTGTAGCTCATGTTTGCCTGCCAGCTCGTTTCATTTCTCATAAATGCTTGCTACCCATTCTCAGACAGGTAGTCATCGACTACCTGGAGAGGTGAGTAAGAATTCCAATGTTATGACCTCAGGATGGCTGATGCCTTTTCTGAAGGCAGCGTTCGGTTTCACTTCCAGTGTTGGCTTTCGGGAGAGTCAGCCGTTCTTTTTTTTTTTCTCCGTTTCCCAGGTGTATGCATGTGGGAAATCTTAATGCACGGCATCAAACCTTTTCAAGGAGTGAAGAACAACGATGTGATTGGCCGGATCGAAAACGGCGAGCGGTTGCCGATGCCGCCCAACTGCCCGCCTACCCTCTACAGCCTCATGACCAAATGTTGGGCTTACGATCCCAGCAGGCGCCCACGATTTACAGAACTTAAAGCTCAACTGAAGTAAGAATTCCTTTTCTTTTTGCTCATATGTAATACGCTCATTTTTTTCCTATGCAAAAATAATAGTCATTCGTTGGGTGGGGGCAGTCATAGAGATTTGTTTGGAACAAGGGATACGGTGGTGTTTCCTTGTGAAACAGGTTTTGGTTAGTCTTGATTGCAATTTGGAACGCCCTCGCTTTAAATTAAAGCAATGTTACCCCCAAGAATAACAGAATAATTGTAATTTGAATCATGTCACGGTCACATAATTGTTCTGTTTTATGTTTTTCTGACAACATGTGAATGGTGCCTGTTAAATTGCTGCCAAAGGCTGTCTCTAAAAGCAGCATCCATTGTGAATTCCTCGTTTCCTTTTCATGTGTTCTCATGTCGACCATGTTGTACTATTACGTTTTATTGGTTGCTAGCAGAGATGGTCCCATGGTAGGATTTGGGCTACGGAGACATTGCTTTTCTTGTTGCTTAAACAAAACTTTGCTTAAAACGTTTGTTTGTGGAATAAAAGCTAGATTGGGGTACCTTCTAATTCAGCTCTGAAGCCAGGACTTTAAATCTTCAGACTTCGTTTGCTCTGCTTTTCTGGGATATAGATGTCCAGCCACATGGTACAATTATTAATCATGGGGATAAGTGGGATAGCAATATCGGAAAAGTGATACAATCCAAAACAATCCCCAAATTCCACCCTCCAAATACCAAAGCAGAATTGTATTCATAATTTATATACGAGTATTCCTTGACTTAACACTCACAACTGGGAATTTCCAACACCTAGCAAGGCAGTTGTTAAGTGAATCACACCCGATTTTAATGATCTTTTTTGGCACGATTGTTAAGGACATTGCTGCAGTTCTTAAGTTGACTCAGGCAGTCGTTAAGTGAATCCAGCTTCCCTCCCCGCTCCGATTGACTTTGCTTGTTGGAAGCCAGCTGTGAAGGTTGTTGCAGACGGTGGTCCTTGAACCCTGGGATAGGATACAGTGAATACAGGCTTGCTGCGAAGTGCTTACATTTGTATCACATGACTGGAGATGCTGTCTCCACTGTCTTGTAAGTGCAACAACCAGGAGTAAGTCCCTTTTTCCAGTACTGTTGTAACTTTTAAACACTGGCTAAATGAATGGTTGTAA